AGCAGGGAACCCTGGGAGGGGCAGCAGCTTTCAGCTTCCAGTCAGGGACAGCACCTCCTACTCTAGCCTAGACTCAGCCTGCTGTGGGTGGCAGGACTTCCTGACTTATTCTTAGTTTTAAGAAAGTGATAACTGGGGCCAGGCCAAGGGAGATAGGTCAGGTGGGCATGCACATTCCTAGCACATGTGCGAGGCCCCAGCTTTGATCCCCGGCCATACACGGTCTCCCAGGCACTCCTGCTATAGCTCTAGTGGCCCCTGAGCACTTTTGGGTGTGGCTCCCACTGGAAAAAAAAGTGACTTCCGGTGTAAAGACTCTTTCCCCATCTGCTCTGGTCTCCAAACATTGAACCCGGATCCACACAAATCGTTGTTCTATGCAGCCAGCTTTTCCAGAGGAGATTGGACAGGGCCAGTGACTTCGCTTCTGAGCAGAGACCCTGGCACCACCTTTCAAGAAGTCTCTGAGCAGAAGGGGTTCTGATGCCGTGGCATCGCAGAGCCAGGACTGACTGAGTGAGCAGAGCTGGGCACCCTCACATGCAGCCAAGCAGAAGGGGACCCAGCTATGCCAGCGTATGTGGCTGGAAGTGAGAGATAACCTCACCCCACCCCTGGTCCCGTCACCCACTCAGCTCCCCCCAGGGCCGGCCACTCCCTGTACGTAGAGGGGAACCCTCCTGGGAGGGAGCCTGTCTGCGAGCCCCCAGATACGGCCTGGCCACTGGCCAGCTGCCAAGGTGCTGGACTTTTTCAGGAACCCAGACACAGATTAGACTCAGGGCAGCTGCAGGAGGATTCCAACCTCATAACTAACTTTAGGGGTCCTGATTCATGGCCATCCAGAACCTAGACCTCTGAGACCCTGGGATAAACCAAAACTCTGATCAGGCCCAAGAGGGTACAAGAGGGCTCAGCTCTTGCTCAGGCAGAAACTCGGCCAGAAAGTCCTCTTTGATCCCTGGAGCGGAGATAAGGTTTAGGGGCCAGAGTCCCCTGGAGCTGGGAGCAGGTTCACAAACAGCCCTGTGTGGCTGCACTGCCCGCAACTGTGCCAAGTTACAGGCCTCTCTGGCCGCGCCCACCTGGGACCTCACCCTTCAAAACTGCAGGTGGCCTCCAGGGCCTAGGTGGGGCATCGCTTTCTATGAAGACCAAAGCCAACGCCACCTCACAGGGCCCTGGGGGCCCTGGGGCCTGTAGCAGCAGAGACATGAAGCCTTGGGGATAAAGGGGGCGGCCTGGCCTGTCCCTCACTGTGTCCAGAGAAGTTCAAGACTGCTCTTGTTGCCTTCCCTCCCTCTCCCCAAATGTATTCTCAGAAGGAAAGCCAATGCCTCCCAGACCTCAGTTTCCTCTCCCAGTGACAGCCAGATTTTGTGGAATCTGCCTGAGTTCTGGGTACTGAGAAACATGGACTGAAATGCAGGCCCTGGGCGGATGAGCTGACTCATCTTTGGCAGGCCTTACGTGGCTTGAACACTGGTCCCCTGGTGTGGGAGTTAAGGGGCGGTGGTGGGTGCCGTAGATTTAGCCTCACAGGGAGCCCCAGCTGACAGCCAGTCATGCTCTGAGACAGTGGGGAAGGGTGGGCTGAATACTGGTGAATTTCACACGTCTTCACCTCTGAGGGTTCATCCCACCCAAATTGAGGAGGACATCATAGGGTCAGATCAATGTAGCTCAGAGACAGCTTGTGTGGATGAGGCCATGGGTTCCATCCCTTGCACCCCACCCTCCCACCCCCCCCCCCACACACTGTGGGAGCCCCGGGTTGGATTTTTGGCACTACAAGGTCCCCAAGTACTATCAGGTATGACCATTCACCCCCCAAAAAGAAAGGTCGTTATAGCCAGGCTATACATATAAAAATATTAAAAAATATGAAAATATAAAAAATGTACCAATAGTACAGCTGGGAAGGTGCTTACCTCGCACATAGCCAACCCGAAATTCAATTCTTGATACCTGATATGGTCCCCCGAGCCCCTTCAAAAGTGATCCCTGAGTGCAGAGCCAGGAGGTAACCCTGAGCACAGCCAGGGATAGCCCCTGAACAAAAACAAAGTAAGAAAGGGAGATACAGGGAACAGAGAGATAGCTAAAGGGTCGGAGTGCATCCTTCACACACACCCAAGGCCCACATTCTGTCCCCGGCACTCATATGATCAGCATCACCAGGTGTAGTCCTGTTGGCCTCTGAGCACAGATGAGGTATCCCTGCCTGATAGCCCCTGTTACCACTGGCCCTGAGCATCATGGTGCTGGGGCATCTGTGAGGCCTGCACCACTGGGGACCCCCAAGCACTTGTAGAAAGACTCTCCTCCCAAAAAAAGGATGCATATATCCTGGTGACAAAAAACTTCCTGGTGTTCCAAGAGGGGTGTGGTACAAACAGTACCCCCTAATACAGGGAGGTGACCAGGAGTGCTGGGCATCACCCCTACAGAGGAAAGGATGTGGCCGCCACCCAGACGTTCCCCAAAGATTCAGGTCCATCTTTGGCATGCCCATCCCAGACTTCCAGAGATCAGGAAAGGGCTGAACCTCCTGTTTTCCCCCGGGAGCCTCTGTCCCAGCAGCTGGCAGGCGGCCTCCTGCTCCCTGCTGTTGCCAAATGAGCTGGAAGAAAGAAGCAGTCCTGTGACTGGGATGTGCATTTGGAGTGTGGCGGGGAAACTCTGCCACTGGCTGGACATGCCCTTGTGCATCTGTAGACATGGCAGGAAGTCTAGCTGTGGTGGCTGAGCCCCACTGGGAAGCGGTCCTTGATGATAGTCATCACAACCCTGACAGTGCACCTTTCTCCCACCTTCATGCTCCCTCTGCGAAGAGCTTCCTCCTTTAGCCCTTAGACTAATGCTCTTGGAAATGATTCACAAGAGCACCGGTGTACTCTTCAAATGACCTTAAATTACTTTGCCCAAATTTGATTCAGATTATACTGACCTTGCTCTATTCTGGCTCATGAGCTGTTATCAGCTGCTTAGACACACACACATACACACATACGTCCAGGTCTCCCATGAGACTTGGGCTCAAGCCCATGGTGAAGTGCAAACGGGCAGCCCTGGCTCTACAGGGCTTGCCATGGGGTGGAGGTTACCCCCATTTGAGGACTTTTTCCTGGACATTCCAAACAGTTGTTCTCAATTGTTTAGGATTCCTGGGGCCAGAAAAGCTAGAGGAGGGTAGCACTTCATACTGGCTCTAGATACTGTGTGCTTATAAATGGAGTTCCTCTCGTTTTGGTAGCTTACAAGTGATGAGTTTTGTGTATTAGAACTTGGGAGAGTGCCACAGTGGTCTGGGACATCAGTACCCACCATCTCCTTCTCACTGGGGATTCAGATCGCAAGAAGAGCTCCGGGCTGGACTCTGCCCTCCTTTAGTTCATCCTTCCTCATTGCACACCGTCCCCACATCCTTAGGAAAATCACCCTAGTAGATCTTGCCACCCAGACTCAATCAAAAGGCTTCACACAGTCAGCTACACCGCATCCCCAGAATCTGACCTCATCAGTACAAAGCAGCTCTGGAGGAGTCTCTTAACCCTCTGCCCAAGCTGAGCCCATTCATGTAAAAACCTGTGGGTCTCCTTCTGGCCAGAGCTCGGAGTCTGTTGGGGGCTGTTGGGGCCGCTACCAGCCACTCATCTGCCTGTCCAGATGCTGTGTGATCAAAATGGGACCAAGCAGGGGCTGGAGCAATAGCACAGCAAGTAGGGTGTTTGCCTTGCATGCAGCCGACCTAGGTTCGATTCCCAGCATCCCATATGGTCCCCCGAGCACCGCCAGGAGTAATTCCTGAGTGCATGAACCAGGAGTAACTCCTGTGTATTGCCGGGTGTGACCAAAAAGAAAAAAAAATGGGACCAAGTACATGACCATCAACCTTTGCCCCTTTTCCATTTTGTCCTTAATTTTCTTACTCAGGGTTCAGAGCAATAGTACAGTGGGTAAGGTGTTTCCTTACAAATGACCAACTCGGGTTCGATCCCTGGCATCCCATATGGTCTCCTGAGCACTGCCAGGAGTAATTCCTGAGTGGAGCCAGGAGTAACCTGAGCATTGCCAGGTGTGACCCAAAAAGGCAAAAAAAATCCCCCAAAATGCACATCAATATTTTCTTATTCAGCCTTGCCACCCTCCAAGGGCCCACACTCTTCCCTTCCAGTGGGCTGATCCTGTGAGGCCATCACAGTTCAGGCAGTTTCTGCAACTAAGGAAATAAAGCTAGTGACCACAGGGCTGGGTGTCCCTGAGCAGCCCCAATGCCCACAGCCTCCCTGGGCCAACCTACCCACTCCTGGGCACTCTTTATAGCCCAGGGTGAGACCAGAGGGGGATGGGAAAAGCAAAAAAAAAAAAAAACTGCTACATTTCATTGGCCGGAGATGATCCTCTAACTTGGGTCTTCCTCTCCAGGGAACATGGTCCATATCTGCGATCCCAAAATCAGTTTTCAGAAGCTCCACTCTGATCTAATAAACCCCTTCAGAGATTCTGGGTGGGCTTGCCCAGCCAGAACCCTTTGTTCAACATATAAGGTTGTGCTTCATATAAGGTTGCCCAGTTTTCCTACCCTATTGTTTTTGTATACACTGTGGGGCTGATATTCAGCACCCAGTTTACCACTGGCTGTCAACAGTAAAATACTGTTGAATTAGCAGGCAACAGTCCCGAGGGCCTGACCCTTGTGTCCTCCACCCCATCCAGACCCCGAGTCTGTGACACTCAGAAAGACCCAAAACCTAACATTCCCAGCACTCCCAGAGTCTGGGTTAGAGGACAAAAGACTGTTCATGGGAATGTGTCCCTGTGTCTTTTCTTCCATCTTCTCTAGGAACGTTAAGTCAGGATTTTGCAATCAGGTCTTGCTCATCCCAGAGTCAGGCTCGGGCCAGACGCCAAGAATAAATCCACCAGAATGTTTCCATGTAAAACCAGCTAGAGTTTCTCTAAACAAACCACCACACCCTTGTGACAATGAACTTTTTATAAAAAGACGTTTGTATTTACATCAATATATACATGCTATATACAAGTATGATCCTGGTTAGATGGTGTTTCCAATTTTAACTCACGACAAGGTGCTCACACTTCCCACCCTGGGCTGAGGGCTGCTGGGACCTGAGGGGTACGTGTGGGGATGATGGGCAGGTGGGGGGGCAAGGCACTATATAAATAAATGCAAAGGCCAGGAGCTTGGTGGGGAAATGTTAGTGTACACCTCTGATCAAAAATGTGGCATGATCCACAGAGAAAGTGCCATGGTTTTCCCAAGCCCCTCAGCCCATGCAGGGAAAGGGGGGTGGGGGGTAGAGCCGCTCGGAGGCGGGGGGGGGGGGGGGGGGAACACTGTCCCACAGGACCAACAGTCTCCTTCACATTTCACTTGCTTCAGCAGTCAGTCCCCAGGGCTCAGCTGGGAAGGGAGGTGGGTCCTTGGGAGCAGGATTCACTTAGTGCAATGTCTTAGTGCAGAGCCAGCCCTGGGGTCAGTAGATCTGCTGATCAGTTTAGCGCCTCGGGCTGGCTCTGGGACAGCATCTCCAGGCAGCTGGACTCAAGAGGGTCGGAAGAGGAGGATCTTAGCTCTCTGCAACCTCCACTGGACACTCCCAACTCAGAATAGCCCATCTTCTTTCTGGGGAGGTAGGCTGGCTGGACCCCCTAAGATGAGCCCCATTTCTGGCCTGCCAGTTCGTGCGAGGTTAATGACCCAAAGAGGAAGGCCCCCTCCCCATGCAGCAGTGGGGTCTTGTGGACACGGTAGGGAGCCCACTGGAGTCCCATTTCTCTGCACCACAGCCACCAGGAATGCCAGGTTCTGTTTTTCGAGGAGTCAGCGGGGCTGGGCCCTGCTAGGGTGCGCAGGGGATGGGCTGGACGGAAGCCAGCCTGACTGGGGTGAGCATGTTCTCTAGCCAGATGGAGTCCATGTTCTTCAGGTCTGTGAAGACAGGGTGTACGCTCATCCCCGGATCCCCTGAAAGACAGAAAAGGTTGTGTGAGAAAGGGTCAAGCGGGGTAGGCAGGCCCAGTATCCGCTCTCTGCTCCACCAAGCCTGTCCTGTACCTCTTTAGGCAGACCCTAGGGTTTGAGAGCTGGGAACTAGACTGTCTGCAACCTCAGCGAGTTCAGCAAGGAAGCGTGGCCTCTGCTGCCCGCCGACCCTGTCCTGGACCTCTCCCCATCCTCCCTCTGGACCCAGGGCTCCTCACCCCCAGGGCTGTCAACTTCAGCCTCCTCCTTGCAGCTGAGCTCGTAGGCAGAGGTGGGCTGGATGCCGGGTTCATTGAGCAGGAACCCCTTCCCGTCCACGTGTGTCGGCTGCCACTCTGACTGCTCCAAGAGCTGGGGATAGGAACGAGGAGACATTAGCAATTAGCCGGTGTCCCAGGCACGCTCACCCTGTGAGTGAACCAGCCTTCCAGGAGCTGAGGTTCCCATCCTCACCCTCTTGGTGGGCTACAGACACGCTGTGTGGGCAGGGCGGGCTGGGCAGGGGAGGAAGCAAGGTTCACTGCTGCCTAGCCCCAACTTGTCATCTCTGGGAGATGAGGGTCAGCCCCCAGACCACACCCCACATCTCCCAAGTCTGCCTTCTTCTCAGCTAGGGGTGTGATGTATAGTCACGGCTCTGGAGACAAGAAAAGTCCCTCCAAAAGGCTAGGGATGAGGAGATACACCGGTGTCTGTGCTCACAACACTGGCAGAGAGGGTCTGGGTTAAACCTACAAACATTTCTCTTTCCTTTGTTTCTGGAGAGCCACACCCAGCTTGGGGGAGGTGGCAGGGGACACACGGCGGGTGCCAGAGCTTGAACCTGGGATTTTTGCACGTGTGCACTCGGCCCTTTGAGCCATTGCCCCGGGCTTCCACAATAATTTTATATCCACTTTTAAAACTAACACAGAAAGGGGGAAAAAAAAAGCACGAGGGATAATTTTCTTTGAAACAACGACATCCACCAAAAAGCCATCACACTGCAGATGCTGGCGGCTGATTATTGAAACCTGATGTGCATTTCCCAAACTCACAGGGCTGGGGCATGTTTGGGCTGTGGATGCGGGCCAGGGACCCAGCGCTGATGGCAGCTGACTCAGAGCTGTCCGCGGCCCCAAGACCCAAGTCAGGACAGCCTGCTTGCTGGAGGCCAGGCCTCCTCCCACCCGCCGCCACAGTGGGTCTCCCATGGCCAAGCAAGGACAGTGGTGGTGACAGACACACTATGTAGGCAGCCAGCCGCCCTTTCCCCCACAGCAGGGCCTGTTTTGGAGGGAGACACAGGGGTTGAAGGGGCTTTACCTTCATGATATCCTCGTGCAGCTTCCCTTCCTCGTCCTCATCTGTGGCTGCTGTTGACAGGGAAGAGCAGAGGGGGCGATGGCAATCAGCTCAGCTTACCAATGGTTCCAGCCCCACCAGAGGTCCCGATCCCTATCCCCCACTACACACACACCCCCACCCCCGCCCCCATACGCCAGCCTCCAGGGGGTCCCCACTCCCTAACCCCCCCAAGACACACATGCATGCATGCACGCCAGCCAACCTCCCAGCACACATCTGCCTGCCACGGATATTCCAGAACAGGGCACTGGCCTGGTGAGTCAGCCCTTGGACGCTCAAGTCAGGCATCTCACTCCCTCATTTCCCTCCTCACCCTAAGAACGGGCTGCCGAGGAGCCAGAACACCCAGCTAAAAGGAGAGAGCACCCATCTCCTGCCACCCCTTCACCTGCCCATGGCGCCTTCACTCCAGCCCGGGCCAGTCCTCCTGCCCACTCGCCACCGCATGCCTGGTGCCCCCATCCCGTGCCACTGCTCTTATTAGGGGGCCCAACCGGGTTAGCCCCCCTGCCCAGTACAGCTGGATGCACATTTGCTCCTTCAAGAAACCCTCCCCAGACCCAAACAGGCTGGACAACAAGGGCACGAACCTTCAGAAGAGGAAGGCATAGGTGACACCTGGAAGTTGTACAAGTCACTGGTACTGTCTGGCATGATGTCCACGGGCATCTGCCACTCCGGGAGAGTGCAGCTGACACAGGATGAGAGCTCTTGAGGATGACAGAAACCACAGGTTAGGGCTGTGTGCTTTCTCTGCGCGATGCTCAACACACACACACACACACACACACACACACACACACACACACACACACACACACACCAGTCCATGAGGCCACCCTCCTCCAGCACAATGAGGAAGAGCCACACCAGTGTCCCCCGTAGCTGCCCCCTCACCTGGAGTGAGGGCCCGGTCAATATCTAAGTCCTGCCCCAGGTAGCCCTGAGCCGTGTAGCTGCTGTGGTCATCAGGCAGGGTGGAGCTGCTGAGTCCATCAGAGAAGGCATCGGGGCTGGAGTCGCCACATGACTGTGGAGGGAGATGGTGGTTGAGCTCCAGGCTAGCTGCAGGCGCCTCCCTCAGTACCCACCAGGAACCCTGGCAGCCAGAGAGCCACGGGGCCCCTACTCACCTTCCTTTTGGCCTTGCTCTTCACGTCTCGACTGGACTTGGTCTTTCTCTCTGTAGGAACAGAGAGGCCGTCAGCCTTAGCACAGGTGCATCAGCTGCCTCCCCCCGGGGCTCCCGCAGACCCCTTGCCTACCTTTCTTCTGGTTCTTGGTGAGGGGCGGGAGCATCCGATACACCCGCACAGCAGAGCTGCCCTTGTTCCTGCTCTGATCCTTCACCTCCTCGATGTCAGGCAGGGAGTTCATGGCACAGCGGAAGTTGGCCTTCCATGTCTTGGGATCTGTCTCCTTTTCTCCTACTTTGTATCGGCCTAAGGGGCAGAAATGCAGAGGAGGGGTCAAGGACCATAGGTGGGGAGCCTCATCTGCCCCCTTTCCCCCCACCATCTATCTGGGAGGAGTCAAGAGTACCCTGAGATCTTGTGCTGCCACCCGCACGGGTCGGACCCCAGTGGTAGTTCCGGGGAACACTCTGCACACCCACTGTCCTGAGGCTTCTCAAATGCCTGGGCCTGGCTCAGACACAGCCAGCCAAATGCCCAGGCATACGTCTGGTCTCACTCATCTCTCGGCACAGTGGGACCAGCCAGAGAGTACATACTGGGTTTGATCTGCTATTTCCAAACCTGGAAGCCCAGAGTGGGGCTCACAAGATGGTAGGCAGGCTGGTATGGATGTGTGCAGAGCCCCAGCCCTCATGGACAGGTGGACAGAATGCCAACTTGATGGGTCTAGTGTGGAGAGCTTGGGCAGCAGGAGTGAGGAAGGCGGAAGCCCAGGTCCCACCAGGGACACAGTTGCTTTTGCTAGAGCGGACCCAAATTCAGTCCCAAACTTGCTAAGGTCACACTTGCTAAGATTTGAGAGTTTCAAATTTCTTCAAGAATGTCTCAAAATGACAAGCCGGCACCAGAAGAGCTGGCCCCTGCCCATCCTGAATTCTGTACTCTCATCTTTCTCAAGGAAGCCCAGGGAAGAGCCACATGACTCCGGGTCCCTGTGCACCCGGCACGCACCTGTGTGAATGGCCCAGCTCCGAAACAGACAGGCGTCCTTGTTGATGTCCCAGCCGTGCTTGGCAGCGTGCTTCCATGGGATCTGGAAGATCATCTTCTCCTGAGCAGCACAGACACACACACACACACACACAGCTGTGTCAGCTCAGAGACCACAGGTTTGGGGCCCCAGCCCCCCAGGTCTGGGAAAAGGCTGACTTCCCCTTTTCACCCTGACATCTGGCTTGGGTTATCCCTATCCTGAGATTGGTGAAAATGGGCTAGTCATTCGCTCCAGATTGCGAAGGGCTCTGGGTTCTGAGGAGCTGGGCTACCCTCTGTGCAGCAAAGCCTTCCTCCACGTTAAGGCCCTGGCATGACGTATAGGGGCTCTTCGAGAGCCCTTTTCTCTCACCTACCCGCAGCACCGGGAACTGAGAATTCTGTTCATTAAGAGGGGGCTCCTTCAGATGCCTGGACCCCAGTTCCTACATAGGGGGTCCTTGGCCACCCCTCTGGAGAGCTAGCAAGCAGGGGACACGGACTACCTGGACCACCCAGCGCTGCCGTGGGGCCTCTCTGCCCCTCAGTGTTTTCTGTGAAATAAGAAAACACTGGCAGATGTAAAGCCTCACTGTTCTTATTGCAGGTGGTTAACAGGAGGGAGTTTTGAGTCAAACAAACTGGGGACCATGGCTTTATTGCTTTTGGTGTGATGGCATTAGCTTCTAGGCCTTGGTATTTTCATGCAGAGGATGCATCTCTCAGAGGGACTCTGAGGGTCGGATGAAACAAGGAGAGGCCTGCAGTGTTCGTCATTATACTAACAGTATTACTGCTGACGCCATGCTGTTGGGGTGACCCATGTGTTTCCCATGAGCAAGGATTTCTTGGGTCAGGACAAGGGATACAAGGTTAACTCTTGGTCTTCTGCTGAACTGGCACATTCCTGCCGGCAGCACCTACTTCTGTCTGAGGGTCCTGGAGGATGCTGGCTGCACATGCAGGGGTCTCCCCAGGAGAGAGGAAGTCCAGCTCTGGGCACTCAGATCGTACCCTCAGGTGTGAGCCCTGCCCCAACCTCAAGGAACAAGAGAGGCAGGAGCAGGGTGCATGCGGGATTCACAGGAGAAACACAGCTGCTCACCCTCCCCTACCACTTCCCTTTCTGAGGTGCATCTGAAACTTTGGTCTCCTAAAGAGCTCAGGTTAAAATAGCAAGCGAAAACCCCCAAAAGAGTTACACTCACTTTATTAATCCAGATCAGCCCTGGGATTTGGTTGGAATTAATCTGCATCTCTAGCCAGGGTCTCATGCGCATCCGAGTGATGGGCATGTTGGCTGTAAAGAGAAGACAGAAGGCTCCTGGTTGGAGTCTGTTGAGCATCCCCTCGGCACTACCCTGCCCCAGCCCATCACTCATACCCTCCCGTGCCCTCAGTTAGGTACCAGGTACTGCGATGCCCGGGATGGGGGCATTCATTGGAATTCAAGTGGAAGGCTGAAAACACATCTGCCCTTCCCTCCCTCTCCCTCTCCCCTAAAACTGTGTGGGGAGGGGCATGGGGGGGTGAAGACAGGCCCCAATCGGGATCTGGCTAGTTTCAGGGTTTAGGCGCCTACGTAAGAGACAACAAGCACAAGTATCTAAGTAACAGAACTTTCCTCCCCGAATTCAAACTCTGGCGTCTTTTCCCCGTATCTCAGGAAATCACTCTACAAGAGTTGATGACACTAGTGGCGCACCTTTACTTAAGGGCCAGCGGTCCCGCTGCGCCCCGACATCCTCTTCCCCGCCCCCCTCATCAACGCCTCCTGACAGTTACTGAGCAGAGGCCGGGTCGCGGACCCTTCCGGTCCGGCTCCCCTCCTGCCCGTCCAGTGGTCGGAGGAAGAACACCTGTGGCGTCTCCTCCCGCAGCCCCCGCACTTTCCGCCGCCGGCCACCTAGGGCAGCACGCACTGATCGGCTGAACCCGGTGGCCTGGACGCGAGCCCGGGCCCCCGGAGAGACCGCGCGGGGGCCCTCACCGCGTCCGTGTCCGGACTCGAGTCCCGGGCACGGCGGCGGGCGGGGATGCGCGCAACAGACACGCAGCCGCTCCGAGGCCCGGCGGCTCGGCGCACGCACGTCTGCGAAGGCGGCCGGGTGGGCGGTCCACGCCGCGACCCGCCCTCCCTTCGCGGCCGCTTGCCGCTCCTCCAGCGCCCTCCGGAGCCCGCGCGGGGACCCAGGCGACGCGGCGCGCCCGCCGCTCCCGGGGCTGGGTTTTTCAGACCCCACTTCCTGGTGCCCCGCGCGCGCCTTTGTTCGACGCCGCCGGCTCCCCCTCCGCGCCTCCCCAGCCACGAAGGCGGGCTCACCTCTGCAGCGAGCGTGCTCGGCGGCGGCGTCCGAGGGTCCCGGCGTGGTGACGGCGCTGGGAGCGCGGTTCCGGGTGCGAGCGAGGAGGAGGCGGCGGCGGAGGATGCCCGGGCGGCGGGGGACTCGGGGCACGCGGCTCCGGCTGGGGACGGCTCCCGCGGGTCTCTGCTCGTTCGGGCTAGAGCGCACGTCCTGCCTCGACGAAGGAGTGGCGCGCACTGCCGGGGCCGCGGCGCCGCGGACACTCTAAACACTTAGCGGGATTCCCCCTGCCCAGGCCCGGGCCCGCCCCCTCCAGTGCCGCGCGCGCGCCCATTGGCCAGCGCCGCCCCATCATTTCGGGGAAATCAGGCTGTTGTAGAGCTAGCGGCGAAGGGGAAGTACAGGGCGGCTGCTGCTCCCCACCCCCTCCGGCCGGCGCCGCCGCCCCGGGGCCACCGCGACCCGACCCGCCCGCGGCCCCTCCACCCCCACATTCGCTCCCGGGGGACACTGTCCTGGAAAGCCGCGCGCTCCGGCTGCGCGCGCCTGCCTTCCTCCCCGCTTTCCGCCTTGTCCCAACCTGCCAGCTCCGGGGGTCATCGCTCCCTTTCCTCGGGGGATGGGGACCTCCGTCTCCCGTGAGCAGGTGAGGGGGCTGGGGCTCGCCTGTCGCCCCTTAAGGACGACAGCGTCCAATCTCCCGAAAACCAGCCTAGTTCTCCCAGGACCGCTTGAGAAGGGGTGAAGGGATCCAGAAAGGTTTTTGGCGCCAGCGCGCCCTTACCTTCCTGGTCTCTCACCTTCCCCGACGAGGAAAAGAGCCGAGGTGCTCTCGGGGCAGGAGGAAAGGAAATCCCCGTTGGTCCTCTGCTGGCGCTGCCTGCCAAGGACTCGCGTTTCCGCATCAAGAGAGAGGCAGCAGGCAGTGGCCCTACGTTTCTCCTGTTACAGTGCCCGGGAGCGGGGTCCAGAAAGCACCAGGTCCTGTGGGCTCCAGTGTGCGTGGTTCTCCAGGTCCCTGCTCAAGTTTGATAACAATGGCGATTTAGTTCCCCAGCTCCCCTCTGCGCCTTCTGGCTCGTCCCCCTCCTCCCGCCACCGCTGGTCTCTTTGCAAAAGGACTTTTGAGTTGGGGTGGCTTGTGGTAGCATTGCCCCTCCACCCCATAAAGTATTCCTGCCTTGCGCCCCTGCTACAGCTCCTATGGCCCTTGGAAAATAGCCCCTCAGGGAAGGCTTGATGTCTCCTCGGGGATCCAGGGTTTAGGCCCCAGAGGGTCTGGGCAACATGGAGGAATCGGATAGTACTCAACAAGACCCCTGGTCGGGGAGTCACCAAGATTCCCAAAGGGTTTTTTGGGGGGGAGATCCAGCTCCCAGGCTCCCAGGCCCTTGGGAAGAGCAGCTACTTTGAGTTTGCTACTATACCTTGCTCTATATTCATTTTATAACCAGAACCCTGGCCCAGCAAGCTCCTTTCCTCAACTCCCGAAAGCTGCTGATTCAGAAGTAGATTACTCTTCCAAGCAAGGCTGGCTCTGTCCATCCCCTCGCCCCTGCTCTCCTGCACAGCAGCCCCCAGTTTCAGGGATTGCAGGCTATACAGAGACACATTGAGGGCACACTCCACCTTTCAGGCACCCTCCTGCCACCCTCCTCCAGAGGCAATGGGTGGGCACTGGTATAATCACTCGATCTTGTGACCAGTGCCAAGCTTGACATCTAGAAGATGACAGGAATGGATCAGAGCTATATCCCTGAAAACGGTGGGTGTCAGCCCTGACAGAGAGAGAAGGAACTATGGGGATTGAGATTTGTTGGTGCACACACCCAGGAGCGCAGAGAAGGGTTTGGGTACATGAACAGAAGGACTTGGGGACTGGTTACCAAGTTCAACACTCTCCAGGCAAGAAGAGAATAACCAAGTGTCCCCTTCCCCCAGTTGTGAAGCATTTTCTCTGTGGAGCACAATTACGGAGGCTTGTCCTGTCCCTGAGAAACTGACATTGCCCCTGGAAAATTCAGAATGAAATTAGAGAGAGGAAGTTTGCACTTAAACTGGTCTCAGAAATTGATTAAAATGACCCTATGAATAGGAGACTTTAAAAAGTGCTGGGGGGGGGGGGTGCTGGAACATTAGCAAAGCAGGTGAAGCACTTACCTTGCACACAGTCTACCTGGATTCCATCCCTGGCACCCCATGTAGTCCCCCGAGCCCACCAGGAGTGATTTCTGAATTCAAAGGCAGGAGTAAGCTCTGAACACTGCCAGGTGTCTCCCCCCCCCCCCAACAAAGTGCTCTAAAACAAGAACTTTTTTTTCTTTTTGGGTCACACCCGGTGATGCACAGGGGTTACTCCTGGCATTGCACTCAGGAATTACTTCTGGCAGTGCTCAGGGAACCATATGGGATGCTGGGAATCGAACCCGGGTTGGCCGCGTGCAAGACAAACTCCCTACCCACTATACTGTTGCCCCTAAAACAACAACTTTAATTCACAGATCATCTGCATGTCCAAATGCACATATGATGAGCATCTGTTTCTGTCATAAAAAGCACTTCTGAAATAGCTTTTTTGGAGTGTTTTTGGGCCACACCCTGTGATGCTAGGGGTTATTCGTGGTTCTATGCTCCAGAATCACTCCTGGTGGTACTGGGGGCGGGGGGGAGCATATGGGATGCTGGGGATCAAGGCAAGGACCTTACTCACTGTACTATCTCTCCAGCCCTAAAATAGCATTTGCAATGTGTACATATTATCCTAAGAATAAAAACTTTCCCAGTTAATCACAAATTGAAGGACATTTAGGTTATTTCCATTTTTTTCCCCAAGATATAAACAATACTGGGTGGCTAAAAATTTGGTGTCCATAATAGATTTTCACTTAGGATAAAGTCCTCTTTGCTAGGCTTTCTCATTGAAATAATTGTCATTTACATCTTTAGAGCTTTTTAAAAAATCTTTCATTTCTTTAGTTTTTGGAGTGTCTGTCACACCTGGTAGTGCTCAGGGTTTACTCCTGGCTCTTGCTCAGGGATCTTTCCTGGTGGAACTCAGAGATCTATGTGGGGTGCCAGGGATTAAATTTAGGTCAGCCATGTGTAAGGCTAACACCCCACCCGCGATACTGTTGCTTAGGCCCCTCTTTTTGATGATTTGAACTTGAGGGATTCATCTTTTATCCTGACACCTGTGAGATTCTACTTATCCTTTCATCGATGGGGAACTGTACTCCAAATCAGTGAAATAAAGCTAAACCCTGTTTATTAACCCAATCAAAAAAAAAATAGCAACGTCCCTGATGAAACCAGTGATGCTAAACAGAGCATGTGGATCTTCGCAGAATCTTTGTAGCAGGACCGGACCTTTTGCTTCTCTGACTCAGAATACTCCCTTCTGTAATTCCAACCATCCTCTGGGCTGAGTGAGGGTCTCCAGCAGCTCTGGCTGCTTTCTGGCCACTCCTGTACAAAAGCATCCACAGAAATTCACACACAAGTAGAACTCTTGCCCCTCCCTTCTCTTTCTATACTCCCCCCATGTCATCCCTTCTCTTTGAAGTCTTTTCCATCCTGCGCTCATCTTTGCTTCACCTGGCCCTCAGGGTCTTCCCTCCCTGCATCTAGTCCTATTTTACATTGTGGCAATGAGGAGACTGGCACCGCTTTCCTGAGGCGTCCCTCCCTGTCAGACCTGTAGTCTGCGTGCCAATGATCTCCACATCTCTGATGACCTCCCTAACATCCAGGCACACCCAGGGACCTGCTGAGTTCATTCAAACTCTGGAGCCCTACCTTGCATTGCTGCTTGCTTGGGCACTAGTGTTCCCCTTTCAGTCTTTTCTCCCATTGCTCCTTCAGTTAATGGTAACTAGAGGGCAGGGGAAGGTGAACATGAATTGAGTCTGAAAACCTGGGGTATTGTGACTTTTCTACTTGTGTGATCTTAGGCAAGTTACTCCCTCCCTCTGGGCCTCAGTTTTCTCATCTGTAAAATAAAATGACTCTACCCATCTCTTCTAAATGTTGTACAGAAGAAGTGATACAAAACTCCCTTTTAGACTATAAGACATTTGTCAAATGACATGTATTAATGGTAACACATGGATTTTTCACTAAGAGTTTCCCGTCACGGCTTTGTATTTTTACCCTCATGTCATTGCTCCCTCCATTTGTTCCTTGTCTGTTTTCCTGGGTACTCAGCAACACAACTCCCACCTCTGTGTGTGTGTATTTGAGTGAATGTGTGTTTGTCTTTTTCTCCCCCTCCTTTCTCTCTCTCTCTCTCTCTCTCTCTCTCTCATCTATCTCAACTCTCCCATTCATCTCCTCCACCTCCAGTTTCAGTAAATGTCTGATCCTCTATGAAGTTAATCAGAAGTTCTCCCCCTCCAGAGAATCTTTTCATTACTCATCACTCTTTGGGTGCTGACCTTCTGGCAAACAGTTTGCCTTTTTTTTTCCATGCAAGAGCCAGGGGTCTTGGTGCCAGTCTGCTTCCCACGCGTGCCCACATCAGTGAGGGCAAACTGATGGTGCAGCTTCTCCGGGTGGCTGCAGCTTCTCCCTAGAGTCTTCTGGGCTGGCATGGCCTCCTCTGAGATTTCATCTGTAGTCCGGATGGGGTGGGGGTCGGGGTGGGCAAGCCCATCTGCTGTGTGGGAGCCTCCCACAGCAACTCAGAACTTGCTGTTCACCCAGGAGGGCAGCAGGTATGAAGTGTAGGTAGGATCCTAGATGCTGAGTTAAGTTTTTGAAAATGAGAAAAGCTTTCGCCCCTTTGGGACCTGCTACCTAGAGAGAGGGTCACAGCCCCCAAAGCAAAGGAAACTTGCATAAGGTTCAGTTGTCCAGGTCCAGAGGGAGGGGTCTGTGTTGCTCAGCCAATAACTCCCTCCCTCCCCCCTCTTTCTTTCTTTCTCTCCCTGCCTCTCTCGCTTTCTTTCCTTCTTTCTTTCTTGTGTTTGGGTCACACCCGAGATGCTCAGGGCTTGGTCCTGCCTCTACACTCAGGAATTACTCCTGGTGGTGCATAGGGATGCCAGGATCGAACGGGGTTGCCCGCTTGCAGGGCTAGGACCCTCCCCGTGTCCAGCGGCTCAGCCCGCCATCTCTATTGTCATAGCAAACTTGGGTGACAGAGTGTTGTAAACCTTGAAGTGCAGAGTACAAACGGGCATAAATCAAAGGATCCAATCCAAACCAGAAGTCATCGCCCTGCCTGAAAGGAGCCTGGCTGGATGGAAAGAAGGTCGTTTTGGAATTCATTCAACAAATACGAATGTATCTCGG